ACAAGCATAATGTTCACGTGGACGTGAACACGAGCAATCAACGACTCCTCGGTAGGTGTAAGCTGGGGCAATCGCGCCGGCACAGGGCCAAAGTCGAGCTGATTATCCGCAGAGAAGAAATACGGCTCGCCGGTGCGTCGTTTCGCGTCTTTTCGATAGCAACGCCCACAGATGCCGTCGCTATCGATCTTCATCTGAAACCAACTCTCTTGGCATCTCCTGCAGTATTCCATCTGATCATTGTCCAGCATGGTCCAGAACTCGCGGAGGGTGGCCTCACGGTCAGTCAATGCGGGAGCGTCAAGGTCGCCATTCCAAACCGGATCTTGTGCATGAAAAACAGCTGATTGTTCAGGTGGAATTATCAACGGACTCCGAATACGTCGTGGCGGCATGTACGACCGAGTTTGCCTTCGAGACTTTCGTGGCCGCCCTCCTGTACCAGGGGCAGGACCACGGAGACCACGCCTTGACTGCGCGGCAGGCTGTCGTGAGCGACGGCGAAGAGGGCTCTCATCCACGCCATCGTCGCTGCCGCCCTCATCTTCGTCCCCCAGCTCGGAATCAGACTCTACCCCCAGTTTTTTGAGGAATCTTCGTGGCCGAGCAGGTGAAAGCAGCAGGTTGAAATAGTCCTCAACGTCAATATCAGATTCAGAGAACTGTTCCCTATCATCCCCTTCCTCGGTTAGCTCATCCCGGCCTAAAAGCTCATTCGGCTGCTGTCGACCTTGACTCCGATCTACGTTCCATGGTTAGCTTAGACAAAGTACCGCGACCACAGCACAAGGATACCTTTTCCATGACCATCGCAACCTTCAGAAGTGCCGAGTTGAGATAATGTGGGAGTTTGTGACACAGCCTCCCCTGCACGGCGTCGTGAACGATGGTCGCGGTGGATAACAGCCTGTTTTGCCCTCGCCTCGGCCCTGGCGGAATCGTCTTGCGAGTCCTTCCCGCCCCTGTGGAACTTCACAGTCGGATAAGTGTGGTCAAAACTAGTCGCGCTGCTTCGGCAAGTAGACGGGTCAGAATTCGTGGAGCTTGGATTGTTCGTTGGCTGCAAATGCGGCGACGGAGCCAGAGGCCTGCAAAGGTGCGAGCTTCGTTGAGTTGACGAAATAGGCGTTCCAAGCACTATGTGCGGCCGACTGGGTGATTCACTGAACAAAATCCTGGCTGTGTGTTGTTGTCGTAGCTTCTCTGGTGATGAAGGTTGGGTTCCAGATCTCTCGTCAGGAGGCGATAGGTCAGCATCTCCATTGGTACTCTTCGGACTAGATCGCTCTGCCGAGGAAGGACAGGAGGCCAGGCTTCTCAATGTCAGAAGCGCACCTTTGGACCTGGCACGCTT